AAAAAAAAAAAAAAAAAAAAACAAGGTCTCATTATGTTGCCCTGGCTGGTCTTGAGTCCCTGGGCTCAAGTGATCCTCCTGGCTCAGCCTCCAGAGTGTTGAAACTACAGAAGGCACAACCACATTTGTCTTAAAAGTATTAAATATGCATAAGATCACGTTACCAATACTGTCATCCTAGTTCCATATAATAGCAAATAACTTTGCTCTTGTGTGAAGAGCCATACATGTGTGAGAACACTTTTTATACCTCTCCTCTAATTGTATTATATTATTGTCTTAGGAAGGGTAAATTCAGTTGCTGGTTATGTGATCCACATAACAAGGTTCAATTTCACTAAGACAATAGTTACTGCAGCTGAGTTGCAAAAATTATAAAAGCTGCTTCATAGATATGCCTCAGATACATAATTTTCTTTCAAAGTGGCACAAATAATTCATGAAAACATTGCCCATTTGTTATAAATGTTAACCATCTCTCTAGTCTTCCTTTTATAGTGTATTTTGGTTCAACAGAACAGAAATGCATGCAGTATATAACCATAAGTTATAACCCAAATGACTATGACAAATGAAAAGCAATAAATACACAGCATATTCACAAAATTTCTTCCAACTAAAAAGTAATCCCTACCAAGACAGGCACAAGAAGACTGTTCTCAGTTGAGGCAGGAGCACACAACTATGTAAACTGATATATATTCATTAAAATCCAATTGCTAAAAAAAATCTGGCACTTTCTTCCCCAACTACAAGCAGTTGTTGCTTCAGTTCCTTGCAAGCACATTCAACCTACCTACCTAACGGCTCTGATTTTACCAGACCCCAGATCATTAGAATTATTATTACTTCTATAACAAATTAGCAAACAGAAGAGTTACACAGTGGCAAGTGAAAACACTAAACATCTGTTCTGAACATCCTTCTTGTAATCCATTTGCTTAAGCAGGTACTGAAGGTACCCACTACTGAAAAACCCAGATACTGGAGCACCACTAAACCCTAGTAAATACAGACCAAGTCATAGCCTGCCATGAAGAATAGTCTACATCCAGTTTGTCTTTACTCCATTCTAATCCAAGTTCCCAGAATTGACAGGGTTTGGTGCCCTGGTTATGACAGACTGACGTCACAGGCTCAGGAAAGGAACCCTGAAGAGGCCAAGATGATTCAAATATTTCTAGCTTCTTTCTGCCAAAGAGAATGGGCAGTAGGGAAGGGTCTCAGCAAGTCACTAAACTACCTGCCCAGGCTGGCTTGAACTTGTGCTCCTCCTTACCTGCACCACTGTGCTCATACCTGAGGAGACCCTGACAGGTGATGAGACCTCCGTAACCTGGCATCTTCAGCCTTTGTATTCAGTCTTCCTCTCTACCAAACCTGTTAGAGCTACAGTTCCCAGCATGTGCCATGCCTTACCTCCAGGTCTTCTGTTCCTGGATAGATCATCCTGATAGCCCTTCCTTGGTTTGGCTAATTCATGTTGAATCTTTCACAATCCAGTTCAGAGGTTACTTCCTCTGCAAAGTCTTCTCTGAACAGCCACCCAAGCCAAAGAAACACACTGTGTGCTCTTGCACCACAGCTCACAGAAAAGGGCCTTCCACTTCCTGTGCTCCACTTCAGAGCTGAATTTTGCAGGGGAGCCATTTTATCCCCTCCCCGCCACCACAGTGATTAGACTATACCAACACATGAGGTATTTCCTTAAGTGGCTGATAAAAATAATTAATTTTCTTGGTTAACTATGAGATCATTTACCCTAACTGAGGCAGACTAGAGCAGAAATGCATAGGAGAATGACTTCTGTTACTGTCTTCTATCAAGGACATGTATGTTCAATAAATTCAGATTTTTATTAATTCAAGGTAAATAAAAAACTGGCCCAAACTTGATGTTTACAAATCAAGCCTATACAGTCTGGGCTACATGAGTTCAAGGCCAGCCTGGATTATATGAGGCCTTATAGCAAGATTAATTACACACTGAAGGATGTGGCCCCCAGCTCCTCAGCCACTGCCTTGGGCTCTGGAGTTCTGAGCTCCCTATCACCAATACCAGTTCAGCTGGTTCCTGGACAATGTGACCCCCTCTGGCAGAGCATCCTAAACCACGGCCCCAGGTATTCCTCTATGAAGGCTCTACAGACTACTCCATACTATATCAGTGTTAAGATCTTGGTATTTGTAGAACTTAACAGAGCACAAAGACTATTTCCTATCATCCACAAAGATCAACAAGCAAAATGGGTAAGTAAATTCATTTGTTTAGAAAGGTGTGAGGACCTTTTTGCATTTAAGTATAAAAATGATAAATATATAACAAAAGTACATAAGCAAAATCCCAAAACACCATTGTCTAGATAATCCATTTATGAATATTTATTTCCAGAAATCTGTCTCTGCTTAGACATACATGCAGTTTTATATAAGTGAGGTTCTATTAGCCATGCAATTGCTTACTGTTCAAAGAAATAAAAGAGGGGGCATGTGGAAGACCTGTTTCCATGTCAATAAATGTA